TATATTTTTTAATAATATTAATAGAGTACCTTAAAGTAGACATTGTAAACAATATAAAATTTTGATTTTATAATGTTGTAGAGTGTAAACGGTTTGAAATAAAGAACCTTTCCTTTAAAATTACTCTTAATGTTAAATTAATTAAATTTTTTACACTTTTGGAATATTGAATGTCCAATTTAAAAGCAAACAAATTTTAAAAATTATTCAAAACTTTTAAAAATAAAAGAGGAAATGCAATCAAAAAACGACATACATATTCATTTATTGTTTGTCGCCAACTACATTTAAACAAGAACATGCAAATGTAGTTCGAAAAAAAAAACGTAAAATTTCCTCCTTATAAAACACTCAAAATTTTCAACAAAGAAGAAACCAATACAAAAAATAAATCAAATATTTTAATTTTAAAATTATTTAATATTAAAAATTTAAGGTAGCCTTTGCAAGTTTATGTCACAAATACTTTAATTATTATGAAAAATAAATGACAAACGGACTGGTGTTCCAACTCAGGCAGAAATTCCATTTATTCAATTTTTGAAAATGTCCAAATGAAAATATAAGTTAAAAAAATTTGTTTGAATTTAATAATATAATTTTGATAGCATTGTGAAGTTTAAAAGAATTAAAAAAGTTTATTCAAAATAATTTTTTTTCCTTTGAAAATTTGTAGTTATTTGGGAATTTCATGTGTAGCTTTGGTACACTTTTTTTTTTTTAGAAAAACAAAAGAATGTTAATTCAAAAGTGAAATAATTGTTATCAAAATATGAGAATGTTGGTGATGGTGGTGAGATAAAAGTATATGTAAGTATGTATATAAAATAAATAATTTTTTTTTTATATCAAGAAATATTTTAATTTTTTTTTTTGTTTTTGTAGTTTCTTAAATAAAGATTTCCTATTTGCGGCTTCCGGTCACGAATAAGGTAAAAGAAGACCTTTATTTCTTCCAGAAAAGAAGTAAACCAAAAAATTTGTATTAGAAAATATTTAAATAACATTTTCAAAAAAAAAAAAGAATGAACAAAATGGTGTAGAATATCTAAAATAGAATTAGTTTATAAATTTAATAATTGAAATCAATTAATTGGGCAAATGACGAATTGTGATTATCGGCTATTACTCCTTTAAATATGAAAATAATGAAAAGTTGTTAAGACTATATCTTGTATATTCAAAACCTTATACGATTTTTGGCTATTCACAAATATTATTGAGCTTTTGAAATGAATATGAATATCATTTCCCCCTTTGAAATACGAGTACTGTCTGATTATGTAGATTATAACACTGATATGGTTAAAACCTGAACTACATAGTATGATTATATGCTTTTATGTTGAAGTTAATTTAATTAGTTTTCAAACTAAAATTTGACAATTTGATTGAAATCTAAATCAAATTTGAAAATCAACAAATATTGCAACCACAATTGGCGATTTCTTTTTCTGGTTAGGAAAGTTTCTTTGGACAGGCATTAAATATTCAGGCTTTAAAAATATACTTATAAAAAAAGCAGCATGTTCAATGGTGATTCCTTATGAAATTAAGTATGTGAATCCAATGAGCAATCAAATGAATTTAAGATGAAGAATAATGTAAAGCGGATTTACATATAAAAAGTATGATTGTGTGAGTATAATTTTATTTTCATTTTGTTTTGATTCTTTTTATATTTTATATGTACTCCAATATGTGCATATTTTCTCTATAATTGAAATAGATTTTTTTTTCTAAATTTAAATCAAATGTACCTTAGAGGAGATTTTCTAAGAAATTCATTAAACTTCAAAAGATTTTATATACATATATAACAGTAATTTTAAATAAAAATAAATTTATTAACCAACAATGGTTATACAACAGAATTTCTGTCTAATTAAATTTAAAATTTTGATTTTAATACAAATTTCGAGATTAAACGCATACACACCTACATACATACATATGCTCCATAAAGAACTTTTATTTATTTAGAAGTAGCACTACAATTAAGGGAACATTTTTAAAATTTAATAGTTATAAAAAAATTTAATACAAAAGAATAAATAGAATAAATTTAATAGTTGCAATGAATGTAGTAATTACGCCACTAAGACTCAAAATTACTGAGAATTGAATGAGGTTGACAAAGTTGTAAAGCTGTTACATACACGAAGTAAGTGTTTAATTATACTTAAACCTCATGCAATCAATTAATCTAAAGTATAATTTAACTGTAATGAAAGTCGTATATGTTAACACTGCTTGAAGGTACGATCAGCTGATTTTTATTTTGGCTACTTTTAATTTTCATTACAAATTGTTAAATTTTGATGTAAAGTCTGAGGTCTATCAGATAATTTTAGTTTGAAATGTAAACAGTTTTTGGACTTTATCGTAGATTCAATCTTATATTTTGTGGTGTATGTAAGCAGTGTACCCAATAACAAAAAAATAAACTTGTGCGATCGAAAAGCAAAAATTCTGCTAGACAACATTCATTACCATTTATAATTTCAAAACAAAATTTTATAATAATTTCATACTTGCCTATGATTTACTAAGAGTACTGCTTAAAAAAATATAATTTTATTTAGAATAAATTAACAGAAGTTCTTGTTTGCTTCAATTTATAAGTCAAAGATAGTAAAATTACTTATTATATAGGCAACAATGTTGTCACATTATAAAATTTTTTAAATTATAAAATTGTTTAATGAAACTCAATTTTGTTCTCATAATATTATACAACACATACATACGTACATTTATGCGATCTATATATATAATATGATTATTAACTGCTCTAGCCTATACAATACAAGAAAATTGATATGAATATATGGCAACACTTATTGCGCTACACCTTTTAAAATTTTTAATTCATTTTTCATAATTTTTCAAGTATATCAATTATAACGATTTAGTTAATGTTTACAATAGTATTAAAAATAAATTAAAAATCATATAAGTTGCAATTTCATTAAACATATATACATACCTGTACACATAAATATAACAGTTTTTTTTATTAATACAAACTTTCTTTATATGTATGTATATATATGTATAAATGTTTTAAATGTAAAAAGTCTAAGTGTGCGCGTGTATATAAAATATACAATATTGTAAAATGTGAAATAAATTTTAATTCATAAAGAAATCTTCATAAATAAAATAAAAAAAAAAAATATTAAGATTTAGGTTTTCATTTTATTTCAAATGCACCAAAGCCTATTTTATCATTTAAATCGTAAAAGAACTACAAAAGTATATAAAAATAATAATAATAATGTGATTTATATAGAAATTTTTATTAAAAATTCTTAATGTTTTTAAGAATATTCCACATACAGACTCATTAAACTTATTTATGTATATTTTTTCATTCTTCCTCACTTTTTTTTCATTTTTATTTAATTTTTCATTCCTAAATTGTTTCTAGATATTTTTTTTTTCTTAATAGTCCTTAACCTGCAAAGTTCAGTTCATGTATTATTTTGTCTATTTGAATAGAATTAAATAAGTTTAATCGTTATCACTTTACAAACATAACTTTTGTTTCAAAATCGTATCTCTTTTGAATTTACATACAAAATTATAACTTGTTGTAATGCACATTAAGTTTCCCTAAAGTTATTCGAATTGGCAACAAAATGATTTGTATACATTGTTGCATAACATTTTCTTAATAAATATAAATTAATATTCATATTGAATTCTTTGGCGTTTTAGAATAAGAACTATATTTTTCAGTAAGTCTATTATATTTTTCACTATGGTTAATAAACATAAGAATAAAATTTTATTGCAAAACTTGAAGCACTATAAAGATTAATTGCAAAATTATTTTTACAATTTAATTTTCTTTATTATTATTTAGTTCCGCCAAAATCCACAAATAACAACTAACTCGCTAAATTTTTGTTGGTTTTTGATTACACTTATTAATTAAACGAAATCGGTAGAAATTAAAATAAAAATTTTAATTTCTAATTCATTTCATTTCTTCATTTAATAACTAAAGCCCAATTTAATTTTAACTGCTATTTTTAATTGATTAAGTTCTTAAACAAAACTAATTTATAACCACGTAATATATAAAATCAAAATTAAGGATTTACTTAAGATGTAGAAATTCTCAGAGTGATGTTATATTTTACTCCTGAATTGAAAAGCCTTGTTCCATTAAAAAGTATTTAAATATATATTACTTTTAAAAATCAGAAAAAAAGTCTGATGACAATCGGACAGTTTTCTATATTTCCTAGCAGATTTCGGTAAATTTCCATCAGACTTCAATTCCACATCAGATGATCGAATGTGAAACAGGCTTCTTAAGGATAAATATTTTACAAACGTAATAGCGGCACAAGCTCTTAACTTTAACTCAATCTTTGAAGTATTGAAAACGCAGCATTTCATTCCTTCTTTAATTTATGTGGAGAATCGTTGAGATATTGAAAGTTATTGTAACACGGTCCGTTGACACGTTTAACTGCATTTACTTCTTTACTTTTACTTTATTAAAGAATTCGATACTTGTTATCATCTATAAATTGTCATACTCATCAGTTTTGCAACAAACACAATAAAATTTTATCGTATATGCATTTAAAAAGAAAATAAAAATGTTGCTAAACATTTTTGTGGATCATAAATTCCAGTTTTTCAATGTATACAAAATTTATGGAATAAAATACAAGAAGAAAGTTGAATACCGTTGTATTTGATTTTTAAAGGTATAAAAGAATTATTTTCCACATTTGTTTTTATTTTGTATTTTTGATTCTTTTCATTCATTGAAAGCGTCGTCATCCTCACACTTATTTATTACTTACTACAAAATACAAACGAGAGATGAAAATTGAACAACACAACAGAGTAGCAGTACTACATAACATTAATTGCTAAGTAGTAGTAGCAGCATCATCATTATTAATAATAAATAAACAACAAACAATAGCAAAATTTTCTTTGGTTAAATTCAGTCGTAAGAAAACATACGGAAGATGAGGATGTTGGATTCTGTTGTACAATTTTCTCGTGCGACTTAACCTCGAGGATTTGAATTTTAACGAAATAAAAAAAATATATTAAGTGATTAATGAGTTTATCTAATAAATATTAATTCAAAATCACATATTTTTAAAAATATTATAAAAATGAGTGTATTACATTTCTAAAAATCTTAAAAGTGTTCAATATTGATAAAAAAAAAATTTAAATAAAAATAAAATTAATAATTTGAAAAATTAAATTTTGGTAAAAAATAAAAATTAAGGCGGAGTGGAAAAAAAATTTACGCTTAATTTTTGTAAAACAAATTTTTGCAAGTGTAAATTATTATTTAGTGTTGTTATTATTTTAACAAATGCCCGATCTTAGTTGCATTAAAATGAATAAATTAATTTTTATATGGTTTCTATGTTTTTTACGTACGATGGTAATAAATGCAATACCATCTGATATGTATCTAAAAATGATCGCACCATTATCAACGAATGATCCTTGTTACGATGATGATAAACCACGTAAATGTATTCCTGATTTTGTGAATGCCGCTTTTGGTAGTCCTGTTGTAGCATCGAGCACTTGTGGTACAAAAGGACCGGAAAGATTTTGTGAATATGGATCTAATTCAGATCAAACACCAAATTGTCAAGTATGTGATGATTTAAATCCAAGAAAACGTTTTTCATCGATAGCATTAACTGATTTGAATAATTCAAATAATGTAACATGTTGGCGATCAAGTATTATACAACCAGCATTAAATTTTAATTCACCATTGGATAATATAACGTTGACGTTATCTTTTGGTAAAAAATATGAATTAACGTATATTAGCTTACAATTTTGCCCAAAATCTATTAAACCGGATTCTCTTTTAATACAGAAGAGTAATGATTTTGGGAAAACATGGAAACCATTTCAATATTATAGTTCACAATGTCGTAAAATGTATGGTAAACCTAATCGTGCAACTTTAACGAAAGCAAATGAACAAGAAGCTAGATGTACCGACTCACAAGGTAATCGAATCGCATTTAGTGTTTTAGAAGGTAGACCATCTGCTTATGATTTGGATTCATCATATATATTGCAAGATTGGGTAACAGCAACTGATATACGTGTTATATTTCATAGATTAGAGATGCCACATGAACAATTAGATGATGATCATTATTTATCACCACGTCAAGCACAAATGATCTCATCTAATGTTGCTATATCATATAATGAAAATGCTATTGGATCTAATGTAATTGAACCGATTCAAACATCATCTTCAACAATTGTAAGTGGATTACATTATGCTGTTTCTGATTTTGCGGTAGGTGGACGTTGTAAATGTAATGGACATGCTTCACGTTGTATAACTGATCGTGATGGACTTTTCAGCTGTGATTGTAAGCATAATACAGCTGGCAGAGATTGTGAACGTTGTAAACCTTTTCATTTTGATAAGCCATGGGGTCGCGCAACTTCAAAAGATGCCAATGAATGTAAAAGTAAGTGAGAATATTTTAAAAGAATATTTTTTTAATCAAATTAAAATTATTCTATGAAAAAACTGAAATTATGTGGAAGCCGTTAAAATTTTAGATATACGTATGCATTTTGACGGTGTATGAAAAACTCAAAGAAATCTGATCGCAATTAAGATTCTTATATTTTTTCTGACAATCAGCTAAAACAAAAAATTATGTAAAATCTTAATACATTCTTCTTTTGGCCTTAATACCTTGATATGTGCCAGGATATTTCTTTCTGCATTTCAAACAAAAATTTACAGTTTTTGTAAAATATTTTAAAATTGCCAAAATTTTAAATTTACTTGTAACAAAAAAACTGAATTAATTTATATATATACTCGTATGCATGTTATGTGAATGTTTATAATATTTGAACATTAATTTCTATACATATAAGAAATATTGTCCTTCAATTAGAATTTAATCAAACAACAAAAAAAAAGGGATAAATCGCGGATAACATTTAAATGTTGCCTTTAATTGCCAAGTTAATGCTAACATACAATGTACAAAATTTTTATATATGTAAGGATATAAATTTTATTTAAATTAGTGCTTGATACTGGTATTTTAAAATTATAAGACAATATTCTTGCGATCAACATTCTAAAATGGAATACGGTTACTTTTTTTTATTGGCTTTATGAACTAGTCGGATTATGTTATGGTATCAACTACATAAATTAAATGAACTAAACTTGTATAATATACTAAATATTCTGTGATCTAGAAAACTCAAGAAAATAAAATTTAAAGCACTATGCAAAATTAATTACACATATTGCTTGCAAAGTTATTTCATCTTCATCTATAAACAAAAGATTTACACAAAACATTTGAACAGGCCTAAACAAAAGTATGAATAAATTACCATTATTTACAGCTCGGATTTGTTATAAAACAAATTTTTTCATATAGTCTCATGATTAACAAGTATATGTACTAAAAATATGTACTAAAACTATTATTTAAAAAACTGTGCAATATTTAATTTCCGATTAAATATTGCACAGTTGATTAAAATTTTTAATTATTTTGCGTAGGATTATAAAGACAATGCAATAATGCTGCGTTCGTAACTTTTTAGGGACCAAAGTTATATTTGATTTTTTACTGAAACACAAAGGATCAAGATAGTTGTAGTGAATAAAGGCAGTTCAGTTGTAAAGAAGTGATTTCAATATTAAAAATTGTGGTCTATAGTGCTTCTAATTTAATAATACCGTCAAATTTTTATTTTATTAACAAGCTATAACCATTTGCTACATAATAATTTTGAATATTTTCCATGATTAATCAATTTTAGAAAATTTAAATATTTATATTCTAAAATATACAAATAATTTCAATTAAAATTAAATTGTTTTCATTATAAAATTATTTATTTTTTAAACATTCAAATTGATTACATTCTGTGAACTTTTTTTTCCCAAATTAAACTTAAAATTGAAAATAGTTTAACCCTTGGCACCTACATTTCTATAAGAAGAATTTTTAACAACTGCGCAACACTCTTTAACTTCAATTTTTGTAATTGTTGCATAAAGTAAATTTGCAAATCCTTTTTAAACCTTTCATTTACAAACTATTAAAGTTCGGTTTACTCGTGAGCCTTTTTTCATATCTTAAACATTTTTAAAAATAACATTGCGAGGAAACACCACAATTTTTACTTTTTTATGCAAGTTTTACTTCATTTGCATATACTCAAATACACACTTAAAACGTATTTAAAGTTCTAATGGGTCACTCAATACACCGAAATAATTTAAACCCTTATAATGCTTGACAACTCTTTTTCTCGTCATAGCTTTTTGAGTGAAGCAAATTTTGACAAGCATACTCGTCGTGATCCAGGAGTTGACACTATTACGACGAATTTGCATATTAATATTGGAAAAAATTTTGCAAGGACGAAAACAACTGAGGTTTCGAATTATATTGAAAATTTAGAATTATCAACATTTCATTCGTGAGCAAATCTTACTTTCAAACATTTGATATTTAGTATAGACTATTGTTGAGGTTTTCGCAAGAACCGAAAATTTGAATTTCTCATATGAACAAATATGAGACTCTTATAAAGGTTTTTATATAGGTATTTAATTACATTTTATAGGAATAGGATCATTTTTTAAGAATTTATTTTGTAAAATATTAAAATTACTATTTCGTTCATTAACTGTACCTAATTTTACTCACAGCTTGCAATAACAGTCAGCACCGCTTTCAATTGTTGAACTTGTCTTTCCAATAATTTTAGTTTTTAGATTTATTTTCGACATTCTAGAATAAAATAGAGGTTATTTTTGCGTTAATAAAACTTGTTGATTTAACATTCAATAAAACGTAACTTACTTATAATTAGTTAAAAATAGCATACTTTTAGGCACTTTAAATATATTTTCAATTATAATTAAAGTGCCTAAATATGCTGAAGAAAAAGGATTGATTCATTTTTTTCTTTTTCTAATTTTACTTTTTGAGTGTGGAAGGGAAATGAGAAAAAAATTATTTTTTCAAGCTCGTGGAATCGGCAATAAATTTTATGCGATCCTAAGTTTTTTTCTTCTATTTTGATTTTTTTTTGTTTTAAAGTAAATTTAAGATACTTTTATATTATACACAAACAAATAAAATTAAATTAAACTTTGATGTTTACATCGAATATTAACTGCTTCAGTAATTATTTCAATAAATTGCTTCTTCTTGTTTTTTGTTAGAGATTATTGAAGAGATTTATTATCTGTCTGTCACCTAGCCTTAAAATACTAGAACTAGACAAAAAAGAGAATAAAATCAAAATTGAAAATAAAAAAAAAAAATTATAATGAAAATGGAAAATTTAAAAACACTTTATAATTAAATTAGTTTTTTGTTTTTCGGAATTTTGTGACGATAAAAAATGTTCCGAATTAAAATTTTGAATTTTAAATGAAATTTTTAATATCTAAATATTAGTACGTTATAAATTTCTGATAGCGATATAAAAATCTATATATGAGTGTATTATGTATATTTTATAAAATATTTATATAAAGTTAATTATGCATTTATGTGTGTATTTATGTACGTACGTCATTATAAACACAAAATTTATAAAGGAATTATTTTTGTATGTACTAAACGATTGCCTTTCTTTCTAATTTTTTGTTCTTTAACATAAATAAATAAATTAACCATAGCAAGGTCCAGACAACATCATACCATTGTACCGCTTTTTAGTACATACAATATAAAATTATTTGTATGTATGTATGTAGGTATGCTTTGTATTTACCCTTAATGTTTATTTTATATTATTATATTTGTAATTTTTCAAGAAAAAAAAAAAAATTTTTTTGGCTAATAATTGTTAAGAAAAGGGAAAAATATTTCAAATTTTTTTTTTTTATATTCAATTTATCCCATACAAATTGTGCATGATGTGTATATGTACCGTTTTTGAATGATTAAATTATTTATCTATGTATACACACATAAACAATGCTTAGATTTCAGTATATTTATATATTTAAGTCTACACGGTAAATTTATTTTGTACATATGTATATATGTACATATACATTTTTGATCCATAGCCCGAAATTAAAAGCCAAGGCAAAAATAATAAAGATTTTAAAAAGATTTTAACCTACTGTTATTTTTAACTTGACTAACAGTTTTTATTGTCAGTTCATTTTAAGTTAATAAGCATGGGTTTCCAAATAATCATTTCATATTCTGAATGAATTTCAAAAAGTTTTCGAAAATATGTTCCGTAAAGTTTTATTCTATCTGTCCGTTTACACGCTCCTTGTTTTTCTCTTTACGAAATTTCTACACAGTGTAAGATAGAAATGAAATCTTTTACAAAGTCGTTAAAAATATTATTTCTCTATAACAAAATTATTATCTTCTTTTCTCTCACGTTATAACTCTTCAAAATTGTGATAGTGCAAGTTGAGTGTAAACCAAAAGAAGTTTAAGCCAACTAATAACTCATTTCTTAATTCCTAATTTTGTTAGTAATTTTTTACGCCTACTGTAGGAGTGTGCTTAAAATTTCAACTGTTTTACCGATATCGATGAAAATTTTATTTTATTGAAATTAAAATGTTTCATTCTTCATCCCGCCCAAATCAAATTAATTCGTAATACAGCTTGATATTCATGCTACCACAAGTTTTTCATAAAAATTATCATTTTAAGATTTCTCCTAAATTTATGCAAAATTCATATACGTTCAAAGCTTTGGACTTAAATTTTTAAAGTTAAACGCAGTGTTTTCCAACATTATGTTATTTCTCAAATATTGTTTTCTGGAAAGCTGGAAAATTATTAATTTGCTTTTCTGTTCATTGATTAGACTTAAAAATATTTAATAGAAAAGTGTTAAAAGGGGAAATGAAATTATTGCAAATATAATTTGTGTGTTATTGTGAAGACATTTAATTTTTAAATTCAGAATAATATTTCGGGATTTTAATTTGCGTTCTGGCCTCTAGTATAAGAGGCATTGGGATATACTACATAAATTTTTATGTGAATATTATTATGTGAATTATATTTGATTTGTTTATCTAATTCGATAAAATAAGGGGTCAAAGTCATGACATTTCAATGATTTCAATGTATAGACATTTAGAGAAAAAACAATGACAAAGAGAGTCCAGACCTATAATCTAAGAGTATATCAACATATCCTTATGGGCCTTAATATTTTGTTTTAAAATAAATTTAAATATGAAATTGTGAGTTTTCATTTTCATTTCAATTTCGTCGAAATATTATGAAAATTTATAGAGAAATGAGAGCTTAAAAATAAATGTCCAGGCATTAAGAATTTTTGTTACATTAAGATCAAAATGAAATTGAAAAATATTTTGGGTATTTTTACGATTTTTTTTTGTCTGTTTTATTTTATTAAAATTTTGAATTAATAATTTGGTGTTCGTAAACATCTATAAACATCTATGCACTATATGGATGTATGT